TCCTGTCCATCCGCCAGGGGCGTCTGCAGCCTGACAGCCCCGCAGGCATCGGGTTGGTTGTTTTCAGCCTCACACACCAGCCCTCACCTGCTGATTCAGGCGGCTGGTTTCAAAGCACTTGCTGCCACCCCGGGGGGGTTATTATTTATTTCAGGCAGGACTCTTAGTTACAAGCAACCCTGGTCAGCGTGGCTTAAAGGAAGAAGAGAATTTTGAGGCTCATGAACAGGAAAAGCCCCAGGGTAATTCCAGTCTTCAGCAAAACAGGGTTCACATGCTCAAAGTGATATTGGCAGGACTCTGTCTTGCCCCGTCTTCCAACTCTGCATCCCTCTGCGTGGGCTTCATTCTCAGGCGGGCCCCTGGTGGGGTGGCAGGAGTGGCCCGTCACCTGAACTCCCAGGAACCTCTGGGGAGAGCATCCCTGTCCCAGTAGCAAGAGTCGCAGTGGCCCTGTCACATGCTCACTCCTGGACTCACCTCCATGGGTGGAGGGTGAGCTGCTCACATGGGCTGGGACTGCTCTTAGCCCCAACCTGAGTTGTGGAGGGGGTGGGGATCTGCTTAGATGGGGAATTGGGCACAAGGGGATCCCTTGGAAAAATCAAGATGCAGCCAGGCGTGGTGGCTCACCCCTGTAATCCCAATACTTTGGGAGGCCGAGGCGGACAGATCACCTGAGGTCAGGAGTTCAAGACCAGCCTGGCCAACATGGTGAAACCCCATCTCTACAAAAATACAAAAAAATAAGCCGGATGTGGTGGTAGGCGCCTTTAGTAATCCCAGTTACTCGGGAGGCTGAGGCAGGAGACTCGCTTGAACCCGGGAGGCGGAGGCTTCAGTGAGCCGAGATTGCGCCATTGCATTCCCGCCTGAGTAACAGAGCGAGGCTCTGTCTCAAAAATAAAATCAAGATCCTAGCACCCCAAGGGGAAATGGACAGACAGGCTGATACAGTGCCCACCCATGCCCACCGTTCTCCAAGACTGTGTTTTGGTCTGAAGAGGAAACACCTGAGCCTCCTGGCTCATGCCCCTCTGCCCCTGCCTGGCTCATGCCCCTCTGCCCCTTGCCTGGCTCATGCCCCTCTGCCCCTTGCCTGGCTCACGCCCCTCTGCCCCTTGCCTGGCTCATGCCCCTCTGCCCCTTGCCTGGCTCACGCCCCTCTGCCCCTTGCCTGGCTCATGCCCCTCTGCCCCTTGCCTGGCTCATGCCCCTCTGCCCCTGCCTGGCTGACTTGAGCCCCGTTCTCCAAAGAGCTGTAGTTACTCACCCACGTGTCTCCAGCATGTCCTCCCAGGTGTGAGGCTTGGGCCTGAGTGGATGTGGAGCACCAGCCTCTGCAGCCTTTTGTCTGGTCTTCCAGAGCAGTGACCCTCCTGAAAAGGGAAAGCATGCTTGTTCTCCGTGGAGCCCCTGGGGGCTCCTAGTGATTGACTTCCTTTCTGAGTGCACAGGAAGCAGCTGTTCAGTAATCCATTGTGACGTTTGGCCAGACACCGACAGAGCTTGTCTCCCTGCGACCCCCTTGTCCAAATTCAGGGATGACCTTTCCCCTCTGTCACCAGGAGGGATGTGATTGTTGGGAGCTCCTTGCATTAGTCCTCTCCAGGCCTAAAGATACGATCACATCTAGAGCTGCCAGCAGCCTCTCACCACTCCTTCTCCTTGGCTTCTTCATAATGATACTGAGTTTTCCTCCATTTTTAGAATCCATCTCCTTGAGGGAGGAGACAGAAACTCCATCCTTCTTCATAGAACCATTTCAAAAAGGAACAGGGGTTTCGGATGAGGCCCAGGTGGCCTAGGAGAGGCCGTCTGGCTGGGCTGGACACTGGCTCTGGCCTGGCCTGGTCACTGACCCTTGCCTGGGTCCTCAGGACCAGGAGAAGAAGGGCCGTTTCTTTTCAGATCACAGAACACTCTTTGGCTCCTAGTCATGTGTCAGGATGAGAGGGGTGGACTTTGAACTCCCATGATTCACTTGAATGTTGCATTTTCTAGATACTATGACAGCCAGTTCTCAGGCCATCATTAAAAAGAAAGAGGGTGAAATCTCACACCTGTGGGTACCCATATCTGTGGGTACCCACCAGCCGCAGCCCTCTGGCTGGAGATGTATCTTGTGGCTCAGCTCCTGTTTGTGTTCTGATTGCAGTGCCATCAGGGGGACATGTGTCCACTGACCCACAGAGGCAGGGATAGCTCGGGAACGTGCTAGGAGAAGAGGGGCAGGTGGGAATAGGCCTCATCTCCTGAGTCATCCCCGAGCAGGCTGAGCCAAGAGTGGCTGACTGAGCATTGGCTGGGCAGAACGTTCCATTTGCCGTGTGTGAGGTTCACCTTTGGCCAAGGTGCATCACTTGTCCTGGTTTTCCAGATGTGGAGGTGGTGACACAGGCTGGGATGAGGTCCCTAGACGTCAGAGCATGTTGCACCTTATGTAAGATCCTTTGATGGTTCCCTTCTACCACAGGCTCGGCGTGGTATGGTGGGAAGTCAAGGCCCTGGAGCCCAGACGTGATTACCTGCCCACTCTCACTTTTGGGGGACACATGCAACAGCCTCCTCATAGCTCCACTCTCGCCCCTAGAGTGTATTCTCTCCCTGCTGTTCCTGAAGCGCAGACCTCATCACACACACAGCCTCCCGCTTAGGAGCTTTAAAGGCCCCCAGTGCTCCTGGGATCAAGGTGATAGCTTGGCTTGCAAGAGTGAGCGCAGGTGGCCCCGGCCCGTTGTCTGGCTTCCTCCCTGTCTACACGCTGATCCCCGCAGTCCTACACCCCAGCCACTCAGCACAGGCTGTTCCCTCGGCCTGGAACACCGGCCCTTGGCACCGCTATACCCCACTGCTCCTGACTCCTGGCCAGTTGCTGCTGAGGCTGTGAAGGTTCTAGACAGCTCAGCCCCCAAAATTCCCCCAACCCTCTAGGATGAGCTGAGGCCCCATCTGAGTTCCCCAGGCCTTTGTGCCCATCCTGCCATTAGCCCACATCATAGGGTGGCATTGTTTCTCCTGGTTCATTTGTGTCCCCACTAAGTGAGTGCCATGCCCCATGAAGGCTGGGACAGTTGTCTTGTTCATGGCTGTCTCCTCAGCGCACAGGACAGGGCTGGCCTGGTGCCCTGTAAGTCAGTTGCTGGTGGACAGATGCTTGGAGGATGTGTGACTTGGGGCAGGGCACCTCCTGAGCCTTGATCTCCCCCTCTGCACTGGGGTCGTGGTGTCAAGTGCAGAGGGAGGGGAGGGAAGGGAAGCAGGGAGCACGGGAAGGGGCCTGCAAAGGTGTCTGGCAGTTGGGGAGCTGTCATTGGCCACAGTCTGGAGCCCATATCCCTGCACTGACACCCAGCTTTCAGCTGTAGCCAGAACTGGGTCTCAGCCAGAGTGGGCAGAGGTAGCCAGGAGATGAGACAGTGCAGAGAGCTGGGGGACAGGGTCAGGGGGTGGTGAGAAGGTCCCCTCCCTCTGTCCCCCTTGGCCCTGCATCCTTGCTCATCTCCACCAGCTCCAACCAGGAACAGCAGCCCAGGAGCCCTCTCCTTCCTCTGGTGCAGGCCACGGTCCTTGCAGCCTGGACTCTGCACAAGAATCACCTGGGGGCTGTGAAATGTCCCACACCCAGGCCATGCCCCAGACTAGTGACATCCGACTCCCTGGTGTGGGCCCCGGGCATCAGTATTTCATAAAACTCCCAGGAGATTCCAGCGCATGGCCAAGTTTGAGAGCCATCATTCCGGGTGGTTGTTGGTAACCTGGTTTTTCCTGGAGACGCTCGGCAGCCTGCAGGAGCCCGCCAGCCAGCGCACAGTGAGCGGCTCAATGGGAAATCTCCCCTTCCCCGCCTCCCTCCACAAAAATCCTCACCAGAAATGAGGAAGCACTTCTTAAAATGGTTTTGTTTTTTGAAAGAGTAGCACATGCATATGGCAGGAACTCCAGGCAGCACAGATGGGTACACAGTGGAAGAAAAATCAGTCCTGGCCAGGCGCGGTGGCTCACACCTGTCATCCTAGCACTTTGGGAGGCTGAGGCGGGCGAGTCACTGGAGGCCAGGCATTTGAGACTAGTCTGGCCAACATGGCGAAACCTCATCTCTACTAAAAAAAAAAAAAAAAAAAAAAAAAAAAAGCCGGGGGTGGTGGCGCACGCCTATAATCCCAGCTAACTTGGGAGACTGAGGCAAGAGAATTGCTTGAACCCAGGAGGCGAAGGTTGCAGTGAGCCAAGATGGCACCAGTGTACTCCAGGCTGGGTGACACAGCAAGACTCTGTCTCAAAAAAAAAAAGTTAGCTGGGAAAAAAAAAAAAAAATCATGTCACCAACCACAGCCACTATACCCAGGCTCTGGGATGGCCCTGCAGAGCTGTCACGTGTCGGTACAGGTCCCTCTGTCACATGTCTGCCCTTCTCACCTTGCTTTCTTAGTCCTTCTCTGCCAGAACGTATTGATCTGCCTGGCTCTTTTTTTTTTCCCCTGAGACATTGTCTCACTCTGTTGCCCAGGTGGAGTGCAGTGGCACAATCTCGGCTCACTGAAACCTCCGTCTCCCGGGTTCAAGTGATTCTCCTGCCTCTGCCTCCCAAGTAGCTGGAATTACAAGTGTGCGCTACCATGCCTGGCTAATTTCTGTATTTTAAGTAGAGACAGGCTTTGACTATGTTGGCCAGGCTGGCCTCAGACTCCTGACCTCAAGTGATCCGCCCACCTTGGCCCCTGCAAAGTGCTGGGATTACAGTCATAAACCACTGCGCCTGGGCTGCCTGGCTCTTCTTGATGCCTACAGGGTATTCCGTTATGGAGAGGGCATGACATGGATGTCTTGGTCCCTTTGGGTGGCCAGCTTTGGCTGTCACAGGCAGTGCTGGTAGAGGAGCTCAGAGTCTTTGGTCATATGTGTGAGTCCTGCGGGATGAACTTGTAGACGGGGAATTCCTGGGTCATGGAACAAGTGGATCCAAATTGCCGATAGAGCACCATTTCTTGTCATTCCAGAAGTCGCCTGCACCAGTACCCGTGACGTATGAGCTGCCCACACTGTACAGGACGGAGGACTATTTTCCTGCGGACGCCAGGGAGGCACAGCACCACCCCCGCACCTGCCCTCGGCCTTTGTGAGCTTTGTGGTCTTCCCATCAGGAATGCTGGAAAAGTGACATTGTGTACATGCTGCAGCTTGGGGGGTTTTTTCTTTGTATTGCTGTTTATTTTATATTTTAAAAAGATTTTTTTAAATGTCGAGATGGGCTCTCACTATGTTGTCCAGGCTGATCTCAAACTCCTGGGCTCAAGTGATCCACCCGCCTTGGCCTTCCAACGTGGTGGGATCACGGGCAGCAGCCTCCGTGCCCAGGCTGCTGCCACTTTCAGATTTCCTCCCTGCCTCATGTGAGACTACAGGGTTTGGAGAAGCAGTTGGAACCCACATGTGGTGCCTCCCACGTTGGCCTGCCTGGGGTTCCACAGGGGTTGAGGGGCCAGGCCTGGCCGGGGCTGATGGACAGTGGGGACTTTCCTTCTCTCCATGATGGCTTTGCAGGGGCTCCATGGTCCTCTCCGTGATGGGGTTTTGCACGGGGTGCGCTCTGCCACTGTGGTGGGTGGATGGGTGGATGGGTGCTGGTTGTGTTGCCTCTAGACCTCGGTGCCCACAGCCTTGAGGATCCTTCCAATAAAGGCGTCAAGAGCTCAGTCCTGGTCTGGTGTGAGAATGATGGGGAGTGATAGTTTCCTTTTCACCTGGGCAATGTTTTCTAGAAGGTTCCTCCTGTGCCTCACCTGTGAGGCCCTGATCCTGGGCATCTGTTTATGAGGCTCTAGCTGAGGGGAGGGGATAGTCCCAGCCTTTGGATTCCCAGCAAGAATGCAGAGGTCATTAGGACCCCCAGGGTCTTCAAAGGCTTGTTTACCCACATTTCTTCCCATGCAGATGAGTTTCCTGCTATTGTCCTAACACTCCAGATTTCTCACTGGTGACTTCAACCTGCAATGGGTATTTCTGGAATTCCTCGAAGAGCCAAGAACACACACATACATACAGCCAAGTCCACTATGCACATGCAGGACTGAACTGTAGACCTGCATTAGAATTTCAAGATAATCTGCGTGACCAAGGTGACTCATGCCTGTAATCCCAGCACCTTGGGAGGCTGAGGCATGAGGGTCGCTTATGCACAGGGGTTCAAGACTGCAGTGAGTCATGATTGTTGTACTGCACCCTAGCATGTGCAACAGAGCAAGACCTTGTCCCCCACCCCCCAAAAAAGTTTTTCAAGGAAGCCTAAAATGTTGAATCTGGCAAGAGAGAGTAGAGGCCAGGTGCAGCGGCTCATACCTGTGATCCCAGCACTTTGGGAGGCTGAGGTGGGCGGATCGCTTAAGCTCAGGAGTTTGAGACCAGCCCTGGCAACATAGACCATGTCTCTACCAAAAATACAAAAATTAGTTGGGTGTGTTGGTGCACATCTGTGGTCCCAGCTACTTGGGAGGCTGAGGCGGGAGGATTGCTTGAGCCTGGGAGGTTGAGGCTGCAGTGAGCCATGATTGTGCCACTACACTCTAGCCTGGATAACCAAGTGAGACCTTGGCTAAATTTTTTTTTTTAATTAAAAACAAAAAAGCAGGGAAATAGTTTAGGACAATTTTTGGAATTAAAAGATATAGGTAGACCCCTTGTTTCTGGAAAAGTCGGCATTTTTCTTTCTTTCTTTTTTTTTTTTTTTTTGAGATGGAGTCTCACTCTGTCACTTAGGCTGTAGTGCAGTGGCACGATCTCAGCTCACTGCAACCTCCGCCTCCCTAGTTCAAGCTATTTCCCTGCCTCAGCCTCCCAGGGAGCTGGGATTACAGGAGCCCACCACCACGCCTAGCTAATTTTTGTATTTTTAGTAGAGACGGGGTTTTGCCATGTTGGCCAGGCTAGTCTTGAACTCCTGACCTCAGGTGATCCTCCTACTTTGACCTCCCAAGGTGCTGGGATTACAGGTGTGAGCCATCGTGCCCAGCCAGCATTTTTTTATTGAGGTAACTTTTGCAATTTTTTTTTTTTTTTTTTTTTTTAGTGAGATGCCTGTTACCCAGGCTGGAGTGCAGTGGTGTGATCACGGCTCCCTGAAACCTCAAACTCCTGGGCTCAAGTGATCCTCCTGCCTCAGCCTCCCAAGTAGCTGGGACCACAGACGTGCACCACCATGCCTGGCAACTTTTCACATTTGTTTTATTTTTTGTAGAGACAGGGTCTCCCTATATTGTTCAGGCTGGTCTTGAACTTCTGGGCTCAGGGGACCCTCCCGTTTTGGCCTCCCAAAATGTTGTGTTGGCAGAAACTTTTATTGAAGTATAATTTACTTTACAGAAAGGGGTGCCTAAGTGGTTCACTAAATTTTTCACAAACTGAATGCATCTATTTAAGCCTCACCAGACTGAGAAACCAACCAACCAACATTATCAGCACTGAGTAGCCCCCTCATGCCCCCTTCTGGTCCATGCCCATGGCCACCCCCACCCCAGGCTGACAGCATACTGACATCTAACCGTATGGGCTGGAGTTTCTAGTTTCTGTGCGCTGTATAGAGAGGACACACGGGATGTGTACCTATGTTGTGTCATCTCTTGTCTCTGGCGTCATTGGCTTGATGTTACCTTGGGAGGTGTCCCTGTTGCTGTGTCACTGTAGATCATTCATTCTCATGCCTGTGTTGTATTGGCTGGGACTGTTTTTATCGAAGGGAGCTTGGACACTCTGCATGCCCCAGCGGACTCAGGGAGAGCATGCATTGGATGGAAAGTTGGCCGGGTGTGGTGGCTCACGCCTGTAATCCCAGCACTTTGGGAGGCCGAGGTGGGCAGATCATTTGAGGTCAGGAATTCGAGACCAGCCTGGCCAACATAGTGAAACCTCATCTCTACTAAAAACACAAAAATTAGCCAGGTGCTGTGGTGTACCCCTGTAATCCCAGCTACTCGGGAGGCTGAGGCATGAGAATCGCTTGAACCTGGGAGGTGGAGGTTGCAGCAAACCTAGGTTGTGCCACTTCACTCCAGCCTGGGCAATGGAGCGAGACCCTGTCTCAAAAAAAAAAAAAAAAAAAAAAAAAAAAAAAAAAAGAAAGAAAAGAAAAAAAGAAAAAGGAGAAAGCTAATGCTAAGTTTTTAGACAAGCGGTTGAGGACACTCATTTCCAGAAGGGTGAGTATCTGCTGAGTGTTGGGCACTCCCAGGCTTCTTTCTCCTCCCAGTGCCTGAAACAGGGGCCGGGGAGAGTTGGAAGGAAATCCCATGTGATTAAGCCATAGCAACGTTGAGTGTCCTAAAGCAGAGACCCACAGGCCCTGCATTAGGAGCATGGCCCTGAGGTTAGCCTGCCTGGCGGCACTGTCTACTCCCACGCCTCTTAGCTGTGTGGGCCGGGCTTTTCGCTTGCTCTGAGTCCAGCCGCCCCTGCGGTAAGACGTGAGGATGGCTCTGGCCTGATAGCTTGCGGTGAGGGTGACACGAGGTGAGCTGTGTGCGTGCTGGGCACGCTGGTGAGGGGCTCTCGGTAATGGGAGGCTGCTGTTGCAGGGCCCTGGCTGCGATGGGGAAAGGGTTGATTGTGCTGCATTTCTCAGTTGACCAGTGACATCCGAGGGCCTGAACAGTGAGTGACTCAGGAACTGCCCTTACATGTCAGAGTTAGAAGTCATGGGAGTGCCGGGCGCGGTGGCTCAAGCCTGTAATCCCAGCACTTTGGGAGGCCGAGACGGGCGGATCATGAGGTCAGGAGATCGAGACCATCCTGGCTAACACAGTGAAACCCCGTCTCTACTAAAAAATACAAAAAACTAGCCGGGCGAGGTGGCGGGCGCCTGTAGTCCCAGCTACTCGGGAGGCTGAGGCAGGAGAACGGCGCAAACCCGGGAGGCGGAGCTTGCAGTGAACCGAGATCCAGCCACTGCACTCCAGCCTGGACGACAAGGAGAGCCCCCGTCAAAAAAAAAAAAAAAAAAAAAAGTCATGGGAGAGTAGAGGCTGCTCTCTCTGTCCTGTTAGGGGGGGTGAGGTTGCACAGGGAAATCTATGGGGAAAAGGTGACAAATGAACTGGAAGTAGCCATTCCAAAGTTCCTAGGATTTGCATTGCCAAACAATGAGCTTTAAGGGACACTTGGAGACACCTGGGAAGGAAGGCTGGGACACTGCGCCTTGCCACGAACCCCCAACCTCAGTCCTCTGAGCGGCTGCACTCTCCTTGTGCCAGGTGACTTCGTGTGCATCCTCATTAAAGCAAAGTGCCTGACGTTTCCATTGTCCAGTCAATGATGTCCTCAGTTGCTGACTATTGATGGCCTCTAACCCCTTGGTAAGGGTAACTGCAGCCTAGGAAAGGGTGATCTGATCTTTTTTTTCTTTTTGAAACAGAGATGGGGTCTTGTTATATTGTCCAGGCTGGTCTCAACCTCCTGGGCTCAAGTGATCCTCCTACCTTGGCCACCCAGAGTATTGGGATTACAGTCGCGAACCACCAAGGCCTGCCAGTCTTTTTCTTTTGTGGTCGATGTTGGACAGGGACACCAGTAGAAAGGTCATTACAGATTTTTTCCCAAGAGCAAGGCTCTTCGGTCAACCCCCTTTCCCACTTTGCCAGCGGATGTGAACTTCGTGCTCACCAAAGCAAGAGGTTTTAAGACAGCAGCCCATGGGGTTGTATCTGATTGGCAAAAATGTGTGGTTTGCCCTGACTTGTTTTAAGATGTTTTCATGTTGTGACAATTGGGTGACCTGAAAAAATAGAGCTCCATACCTCACTCAGCACACCTGGAACAATTCCAAAATTGCAAATCAATTAGGAGTTTGATGTATAAAATGAATCTATTGGCTGGGTGCAGTGGCTCACACATGAATCCTACCACTTTGGGAGGCCAAGGTGGGTGGATTGCTTGAGCTCAGGAGTTCAAGAGCAGCATAGGCAACATAACAAAACCCCTTCTCTGTAAAAAATACAAAAATTAGCCAGGCATGGTGGTGCTTGCCTGTAGACCCAGCTACTTGGTGGGAGGCGGGAAGATTGCTCAAGCCAGGGAAGTTGAGGCTGCAGTGAGCTGAGATTGTGCAGCCACTGCACTCCAGCCTGGGTGACAAAGTGTTACCCTGTCTTAAAAAGTAAAATAAAACGAATCTATTGAAGAAATAGGTAAACACATTGGAGAAGTGTACAAAATCGAGAAGCCATAAAAGAGGGCAATTTGATTTTGTGTGTGTGTGTATATATATATATATATAAATTTTAAACCTCTGCATGGCAAAACCAACAGAAAACTCAACCAAAAAATCCCAAAACAACAAAATCCTAGGCAAATTCAAAAGATAGATGACAAATTGGGAAAATATATTTGCATCTCATGCTACAAAGGGATAATCTCCATAATAAATGTCACCTACAAAAAAGGGAAACAGTGGCAAAACAGGCAAAGGCTATAAACAGGAGTTTCACGGAAAATGCAAAACATGGAAAGATACTCAACCTTAATGTATGCCAGTAAGTATGGAAAAATACCCTGAGATTTTTCACATTTCAGGCTGGCAAGGATTAAAATTTTTGATGACACTATTGATTCTGTTTTGTTTTGTTTTTGTTTTTTTGAGACAGTGTCTGCTCTGTTGCCCAGGTTGGAGTGCAGTGGTGTGATCTTGGCTCACTGCAACCTCTGCCTC